TCTGGTCGACAGAGCACCCCAGAAAGACCCGTCGGTCGTGAACACCAGTTCGAACCCCGTGGCTCTGGATCGTCGAGGCATGACTCATTTTTCCGCGCTATGTTTTGCTCTCTACGAGCTAGAACTCAAGCGCGTGACGCGCTTGTGATGGTTCCACATGCATGTAGATGCTCATGCATGTCTTGCGTGCCGTATCGCTCTGGCAAGTCCCACTCAGCCATTCGCTGGTCGTGGCTTTCAGCGACGCGCGCTGCACGCGGTGCCGGAGGCCACGCAGATCCCCCTCGTGCAAAGGGGGAGGGCGCGCGCGTGTGTGTGTGTGTGTGTGTGTGTGTGTGTGTGTGTGTGCGTGCGTGCGTGCGTGCGTGCGTGCGTGCGTGCGTGCGTGTGTGTGTGTGTGTGTGTGTGTGTGTGTGTGTGTGTGTGGTGGGGGGCGTGCAGGAGCACGGGAACGACGAGAGGAAGGCGGAGGACGACGAGCCCAGGAGAGGGGTCGATGGACGGGCTCACGCCCGCATGAGTTCACGCTGCGTCTGAGAGTACGCCTTCTCGCCAGCGCTCGTAGCAGGGCGGCGGCCTCGCGAGCCAGAGGGGGCGTGCTCATGCTTGTGGCTGGGCGTGTACTTGTTGGGCTCTGAAAGTGGCCACCAGGGGGGGGGGTCGTCCCAATCGCCATTCCGTTCGAGCCTCTCCGGCTGGTGAGGTCAGGGTCTGCGACAGGCCCCCTCTCCCCTGCCAGTTGCACCCAGGTCGTCCCGTATTCGATCCTCAAGGCGAAGATCGCAGTCCGTTTCCACGTGCTGGGGGGCTCCGGCGAAGTAGTCAGGCGGAAGAAAGATGGAGGAGGGGGTGTGGGGCAGTCAGGGAGTGATAATGCTGCTGCTGCTGATGATGATAATGAGCAGGAGGAGGAGGAGGAGGAGGAGGAGGAGGAGGAGGAGGAGGAGGAGGAGGAGGTGGGGCAGGAGAAGGGAGGAGGATGCGCAGTAGGAGTACGAGGAGGACACGGAAGTCGAGGAGCAATATTGACGTTGTTATGGGTAGTCAGAGAACTGGGCAGAATTGATAATTGGTATTGGGCGGCGGAAGTCGGAGGAGAGTACCGGAACGCCAGAGCCTTCCCTGGGATGTCGGGAGCCCTGAGACGGGGGTCAATGCAGACGGGGGTCAGCCAGGGCGCCAGATCCTGCAGGATCCTGCGAAGACCCCCTCTGGCCGACCCGGGTTAGGGAGCCGCTCGTGGCCGCGAGGCGGCCGCGCATATTGGCTGACCCGGGTCTGCGAAGACCTGCGTTGCAGTTTTTTTTCCCTGCATTGCAGTTTTTGGTTTCCTGCTGACCCGGGTCTGGATTGACCCGGGTCAGAAGATCCCCGAGGATGGTGAAGGAGAGGGGGGGGGGAGTGATGGTGGGCCTCCCAGACCTACGCTCTTGCAGAGTGTCTCTCGGGTTTGCGGGCCTCCCGGACGTCCGCGGAAAAACAGGATCCAAAAGGGCCAGGAGAGCGTCCGACAGGCTCCACGAGAGCCCCAAAGTGGATGCACAGCCTCCTGACGCGCCTCAGTACGATCTAAGCATTACCCCCGAGAGGCCCCCAATTGCAACATCTGCTGATCTTCCTGATTTGTGGAGGTCTGCTCCTTCGGCCTTCCTGCCATCCCATGCCGCCAGAGAGGCCCTCACGATCGTTCCGAGACGGGTTTAAAAAGGGCGACAGCTTTTCCCAAGAGAGCGCGGTTGGCAGCCAGGTGGCCACAATAAGCAACCAACGGCTCTTGAACAGCTCCAAGGAGGCCTCCAGGAGCCCCCCTAAAGCCCCCATGGAATGGAATGTTCGAGAGGCCTCCGAGGGAACCCCCTACGGAGGAATTTCGCCGAAAATCGAGGATCAGGACGGGGAAGGGTTCATAGGCGATGCCGATAACAAATAGGAGGAAGGAGTAGGGAGAAACGGAGAAGGAACAAGAGGAAGAGGATGGGGAGACCGGAAGCGGAGACACACATGTCATCCGCAAGGGCTTCGCCCCCCCTGCCGCCGGCCCCCTCTCTCGGAGAATGGGCCATGGAAGAGCGAAGTCATGAGGCTTTGGCTTCGCCGTGAAGCAGCGTCGGGACCTGTTTTTTTTCGACCCTGTCCCTACGGATCGGCGTGAGGGGTGCCGCCGAATTTCAGACATGTGGCAACTCCCGTATGTTTTTGGACCCTGTCCCTACGGATCGGCGTGAGGGGTGCCGCCGAATTTCAGACATGTGGCAAATCCCGTATGTTTTTGGACCCTGACCCTACGGATCTGCGTGAGGGGTGCCGCCGAATTTCAGACATGTGGCAACTCCCGTATGTTTTTGGACCCTGTCCCTACGGATCGGCGTGAGGGGTGCCGCCGAATTTCAGACATGTGGCAAATCCCGTATGTTTTTGGACCCTGACCCTACGGATCTGCGTGAGGGGTGCCGCCGAATTTCAGACATGTGGCAACTCCCGTATGTTTTTGGACCCTGACCCTACGGATCTGCGTGAGGGGTGCCACCGAATTTCAGAAATGTGGCAAATCCAATGTGTTTTTGGACTCTGACCCCGCCGATCTGCGTGAGAGGTGCCACCGAATTTTAGACATGTGGCAAATCCCATGTGCTGTTTCGACCCTGACCCCGCCGATCTGCGTGAGGGGTGCCACCGTATTTCAGAAATGTGACACATCCCCTGCGTTTTTGGACCCTGACCCCGCCGATCTGCGTGAGGGGTGTCAATTTTTACCCACCCCAGCAATTCAGAGCATACGATTTCTCCGTGGTAAAAATGCCCGTTTTGGGCCTCCCCCCCTCGCGCGGTCCATCAACAAGGAACAGTAAGCAGCAAGAAGCAGAACTGTAACGGTGGAAACTGGAAGCTGCAATTGGTACAGGAAACTGCGAATTCCCGGCCTACAGCTTGGTGGCCCCACAGTAGGGGGCCAGCGGATTTCCTAATTGTTTTCCATCTCGAGTGTTCTACCATTGATGGCAAAAGGACAACACACAAGACCCAGCGGGGAGACGGGGAGTCTGAATAGAGAGACTTTCGCCGCCGGTTCACCAGAATCGCCGTTTCGGCTGAGACTTCCACCATTTCCTCAGGAGTCGCCCCCTCGCCGCAGTGCCAGCTTCCTTTTTGGCCCCGACGGCCACGCTCCTTTCTTAGGAACTCATTGCCCCGACGGTAGGGCCCAACGTGACAATCTTCCAAACTGCTCGGGCAGTAGCCCTCATCGGCGGCTCTCTTCAGTCTGGTACAGTCAAAGCGCCTAGTAAGGACACTCCCGTTCGAATTGTTCTTCAAGACTCGGGCTCACAGATTCTGTGCTTGTACCTCGTATTCCGATGGCCGCCTCGGATTGGAGCACGAAGCGCGGGCCCCAGAGGGAGGCGTCTCCCGCCCGAGGCGTCCTCTCGATGCACTCCTGGGCGAGCGCCCGAGGCATCCAGAGCGAGGCTCCCGATCGAGACTTCCCCGGGATGCTGGCTCCCAGGTGTCACGAAACTCGTGTGTCGTACAGGGTGTTTCGATGGCCGCCTCGGATTACCAGCATGATCCGGGGGACCTCCTATCTCATATCGGCAGGGGCTCTCGCTCGAGACTTCCTCGCGGTTCACTCACGGACGAGTGAGCGCCCGAGACATCCATTCAATTTGTTCAGGGGCGAGACTGCCGCTCTAGACTCCTTCGGGATCCATGCTCCCAGGTGTCACCAAGCTTGTGTTTTTTTGGTTCGAAGGGACTTCCGATGGCCGCCTCGGATTGCCAACATCAGGGTTGGGTCCCCATACGAAGGGGCTCTCGCTCGAGGCGTCCTCGCGATTCACTTGTAGGCGAGCGCCCGGGACATCCTCTCAGTGTGCTCAGGAGCGAGGCCCCCGCTCGAGACTTCCTTGCGATTCACTCACACACGGGTGAGCGCCCGAGACTGAGGCTCCCAGGTGTCACCAAACTTGTGTTTTAACGGAGTATTCAAATGGCCGCCTCGGATTACCCACTTGAGCTGGGGACCCCATAGGGAGGGGCTCGCGCTCGAGACTCCAGACGACGCTCCCGCTCGAGACTTTCTCAATATGAGTTTGCGAGGGTGTGTTGCATGGGCCCGATCGCTTCACGACTGGGGATGTCTCGGCTGAGCTCCCTGTTTTGGTGGCTTCGGCGTTTTTGCTTTCTTTCGGACCAGGCTCTGAGGATGTCTCTGGCGAGGCGCTGGTTTCAGCACGTGATGGGTTTAGTGGGGTGCCATGGGTTGCTGTACGGGCCCGTCCGCGGCCCGACAGTGGGGATGCTTCAGGCGTGTTGCTTATTTGGTGCCTTTGGGCTTCTTTACCTTCAGAGCGGACTGTGAGGACGTCTTGAACGAGACGCTGTTTTCAACATCCAAGTGGGTTTGCGCAAGCCTGTGCGCGCCCAGCTTGTTGTGATGCGTCGAGCGAGGCGCTCGTTTCGTGGCTCTGACTTCTCTGCGTTCACAGTAGAACGCCAGGATGCTTCCGACGGAGCGCTTGTTCGGGCACCACTGACCCCTGTCGTTTCAGAGCTCCAAGGGCACGCGGATGTAGCAGGCGCAGCATCTGTGCTCCCCGAAGGGGGAGCCACCAGGGATCGCCCAGTCGCTACCGGCTACGATTCTCTCGTTCAGACGCTCACACACGGAAGTGTCAGGAACGGAGATGCGCGCCTACGGATTTCCGCGTCGCGGCGCAGCTCGCTCGGCGGGCTGGCATGCAATGCTGGTGACTGCATGCGTGGGGAATGGTGAATACGGGTCAGATGGGCCCCCGGACACGTGTGGCCACCCAGCTGAGTCGAATTAACCCACCATTCCACGAATTACTCCGTGTCGCAATGGACGATGCGAGGAGACCTCGATCAGCTCCAACAGCTCCCGGCCCGCCTTGCGTCGATAACACAGAACGAAGCTGCCGCCGCCAGCATGGCCGGTGCCGATAGGCGCCGGGAAGTCCCCCGGCGTGCACCGAATTACAGGCAGTGACCATGCGGTGCCTGTCGGCGCCACTTTGGCCACCTCCCCGTCGAATAATTGTATTACCCTCCTCTCCTTCTCCTCCCTCCTTTTCCTCCTCCAACCCATCTACGCCTCCCTATCTCTACGTCTCTCTATCACCCCTTCCGCTCATCCGCCTCCCTCACGATCGCCTTCATCCTCATAAGATTGATTCCTTCCCGATCTATCCTTCCTTCTCTGTCTTCCCTCCTCTTCTTGGCAGGTTCACTACGCCAACGCGGCCGAATCCCTCCAGATCGTTAGGAGCCTCTGGGAGGCCAGGTCTCTGAGCTACTCAGAGGCCGGCCTGCGGGACAAGGAGCGAGAAGTAAGGAGGGTTGATATTGACGATGACAATGATGATGCTGATGCTGATGCTGATAGTGATGATGGTGGCGGTGGTTGTGGTGGTGGTGATTTCTGATGCTGCCGATGATGATGATGCTGAGGATGCTGATGGTGATGATGATGCTGATGATTATGATGACGCTGACGGTGAAAATGATGATGACGATGCTGATGCTGAACATGATGATGATACTGATGATGATGATGCTGATATTGATGATGATGATAATGTTGATTATGACGACGATTATGATATGATGATGATAATGAGGATGATGACCATGATGCTGATGATGCGGATAAGGCTAAGGATGAAGCTGTTGCTGCTGATGATGATGCAGATGATGATGATGATGATGATGATGATGATGCTGATGCTTCTGGTGAGGATGCTGATGATGCTGATGATGAGGTCGACGATGAGGACGAGGATGATGATGAGGTTTTGATGCTGATGCTGATGCTGATCATGATGATGCAGATGATGATGCTACTGATGATGGTACTGATGATTCTGATGATGCTGATGATGCTGCAGAAGCTGATGATAATGGTGATGCTGATATTGATGCTGATTATGCTGATGGTGCTGGTGTCGATGACGATGACGATGCTGATAATGATGACCATGATGCTGCTGATGACACTGACGATGCTGATGATGATGATGATGATGCTGATGATGATGAAGCTGATAATGATGCTGATGATGTGCTCATGCTGATGATAATGCTGATTATGGCGATGAACATGATGATGCTGATGATGCGGATGCTGCTGATAAGTATTATGATGATGACGATGGTGCTGATCATGATGCTGTTGATGATGAGGACGATGATGGTGATGATGCTGCTGATGATGCTGATGATGGTGATGATGATGATAATGCTGGCGCTGTTGATATGGTGATGGCGATGCTGATGAGTTTGACGATGCTTATGCTGCTGCTGATGATGCTGATGCTGATGCTGATGTTGTTGATGATGATGATGCTGATTCTGATAATAATATGCGGATGAGGATGAGGATGCAGATGAGGATGAGGATGAGGATGTGGATGCTGCTGCTGATGATGCTGCTGCTGATGATGGCGATGATGGTGATGATGATGATGATGATGATGATGATGATGATGATGATGATGATGATGACGATGATGCTGATGCTGCTGCTACTGATGATGCTGATGCTGATCGCGACGATGATGAGGATGAGGATGAGGATGAGGATGAGGATGAGGATGAGGATGAGGATGAGGATGAGGTTGAGGATTTGGAAGGGGAGGTTGAGGAGGAGGAGGAGGAGGAGGAGGAGGAGGAGCCAGAGGAGCTGGAGCCTTGTTCTTGACAGGGAGGATGAGGAGGAAGAGGAGGAGGAGGAGCAGGGAGGAGGAGGAGGAGGAGGAGGAGGAGGAGGAGGAGGAGGAGCAGGGATGATGAGCCGCAGGAGGAGGGGAAGGTGCATGAGGAGGGAGGTGGAGGAGGATGGAACAAGGGGGGTATACGTTTGTGGAGGGGAGGGCAGGAGGTTCGAAATGGGAAGTGGTGGAGGAAGGGGAACCTTTGAGAGAAGAACGCCGATGGTATGATGAGAGGATGTGGCAGGCATGGGAGGAGGGTTGGCATGGGGAGGAGGATAATGACGTTGCGATTGAGGAGGAGGAGGAGGAGGAAGAGGAGGAGGAGATGGACGAGGATAAGGAGGAGGAGGAGGAGGAGGAGGTGGTGGAGGAGGAGGGGGAGAAGGAGGGAGCGGGATGAACATTTAGCAAGAACTTCATTTTTTGCAGTGCGTTTCTGGTAACATTGCGTTGAAGCAGTCATGCCGGCCGACTTGGGAGCTCAAACCGATTGGCAACCATGATTTTGGCAGGGGAGGGCTGTGGGTTCTGAGGGGGGGACCGTGGCGTCGACGAATGCTACGAGGACGCATCACGGCTGCAGAAGACGAAGGGGACGTGAGGTTACAGCCTACCCGCACAGTAAGGATGGGCGACCTCCCCAAGGGTACCCTTGCATCCTTGCCTCCTCGGTCCATCCCTTGCCGCCTTCGCTGGCCGCGCCCCGCTCGAACAGCTTCGAAGTGGGCGTCCCAGGCCCTTGCATCCTCATCGCGCATCCTTACTATACTGGTTGGCTGTACTGCTCAGAGGCACGAGCGTGAGGAAGCACGCTCCAGCCCAGGGGAGCGGAGGGCGTTCGCGCGGGGCCTCCCGCTGCCGTCGCGCACGGGCGGGAGCGGAGAGCCTCAGGCAATTCTCGCGCGGCGCTGCGGCCAGAGCTCACCAGCCTGAAACACATCCCTGTCCCTGTGTTTTGCATCGCCCCGCCTCGGTGCCGATCTTAAGGATTCCCTCGGCTTCTGAGAGCACGTCCCTAGGACTGTTCTCGCTTCTTGCTCGCACATCTTAGGGATAGGAATTTGTTCGAGGCTTGTCAGAGAGCAGAATTTTGGTTTATCCTTGGCGCCCATGTTTCCGATGAGCGCGGCGATTACGAAGCATGCGTCGCGCCGAAAATGGCGGGGCGCTTGGGAGAGGAAGGAGGAGGGAAAGGAGGAGGAGGAGGAGGAGGAGGAGGAGGAGGAGAAGGAGGAGGAGGAGGAGGAGGAGAGTGGAGGGCGAATAATTCGACATGTGGCAGGTGCGGCACTTTGATAACCTACGCCAGCGCAGCGCCATGTAATAACGGTAGAGGCGAATGCGGCTGCCTCTCTTTCCCCCTCCTCCTCCCGTGGGTGCCGCGTCGGGTCTGTGGGTCTGCACTCTCCCCAACTTCGGGACATGCACCGTGCCCCCCCATGCGTTCAGCCCTGCCCTGGGCGTTCTGCCAATGGGGGCCTTACTCGGTGGCCCCCCCCAACGGTGTGGTCACCACACCGCGCGGCGAGTCGGCGGAGGTTCGGGGCCACCGCACGGGTTTGGGACTCGGGTCGGTCTCCGAGGACGCCTCGGGGGGCGGGTGCCTCCAGGGTCCCCACGCCGTGGGGTCACGGACCGCCGCCACGCCTCGTTGGGACCCGCAACCAACCGACCGTCCGTGCTGATCCTCGCGCGAGGCCGCGCGCAACCGTCTCTTGCACCGCACGCCCGGAGCTCACGCGTCTTCTCCTGCCGACGGGCCGTGCGGCCCCTCGGCGGCGGGTTCCGACCGGCACTTGCGGCTTTCTGTTGTGGCGGTTGCACATTCAGGTCATCTTGTGCAGGACCCATACTCTGAGGCGGGAGGGGGATGAGCAGCCCCTCCGTCGTTCTCCTGGGGATTCCGAGGGAGAGTCATCCGGCTGAATTTTCTGCCCTGGTGGCCAGTCCCTGGCAGTCGTCAGCCATTGGAGCCTCGGTGTCAGCGGTGCATTACAAAAGTCCGTCGTTTGGCACAGTGGTGTCCTAAGAGCTGCAGGTCGATCAGACCATCCTGCCTTGCGACGGCTGGGCCACCCCCTTGTTGAAGCTGGCCCTGATCCAGCCGCCCTCCCCCCTCGGTGGAGCGCGCGTGTCTCATGTGCGCTCGCTCGATCGCTCGCTCTTGCCCTGGGAGGAGCAGTGTGTCGTGATGATGACATGTTCCCGCGGTAGTAACTCTTGGGACCCCTTGTGTGTCCTCGCAACTCCGCCTCTAGAGTAGAGCGCACTCGCGTGCGCAAGCGTCTGGTAAGTAATCGATGAGACAGAGCAGGTTTGGTGCCGACTCGAGCCGAATAGCGTCGGCTAGCGTCGGCTAGGGTCGATTCGCAAGAGCCAGCAAGATGGCATGGCAGGCTTCCATGAGTTGCCATAGAACGTTCCAAAAGTCTGAGTTTCCCCAGACGTCGCATTGTTCCGCGTGGGCTCCAGAAGCCAGGGCGGGCCGGTGCTGCGGAGGTCCCGGAGCGTACCCCGAGCCAGTCGCATCATGGCATCATCCCCGTCATCCTCCCCTCCGTCGAAGGAGAGCAATCGACACACGCACGAAACTTCGGAAGTCCGCGCAGGCCTCTTTGGATCGGCGCCGGGCCGCCCTCCAGGGCACGCGGCGCGCGCAGTGTGCCGCGTCGCGGGCGCCGCCAGGGGAGCCTGCCGCCGGCAGGTGCCTCTTCAAGACGCTCCCGCCGATCTCCGAGAGTTTGTGTCCGTGTTCTGTCTTGCTCATCCCCTCCCAGGCCGACGCTCTGGTCAGCCCGGCGCATCGCCGACGCATCGCCGATGCCTCGGCGATCTCGGAACTCCTGCGGGCGGCCTCCAGTATGCCCCCCCCAGGAATCCTGGACGTCGCGTTTCTGTCACAGCGTAGGCCCCCGGAGGCCTAAGACCCCTCCCCTTGTACCGATTTCTCATCCCGAGCCGTTTCTGGAGGGCTCTGGGGCCCAGCGCTGGCCCCTGGCGGCCGAAAAGCGTCCCGTCGTGACCTGTCCACAGCGAGGGCGGGTCGGGGCCTGTCGCCCCTCCCCTTCCAGGCCGACGCCGTGGTCAAGCGCGTGCTCGCCGAGGCGACGGCCTGCGTTCAGTTCGACAGCAGCCGCCTCGGCCACCGCGAGAGCGCGCTGCTGCAGGCCGCGCGCGCCGGCACCCCTCTCGCTGCTCTTCGGGGGTGCGGGGGGGCGCCTTCTGCGCTCACGCGTGTGGATCGGCAGGGCGAGTGCGAGGGCCCAAGGCCTCCTGGAGGGGGTCCGAGTGGATGGGGTCGGAGGATTGCGCCGCACCGCCGACGTGGGGCCCGGTTTTCTCCTCGCCGACGTCGCCGATGCACCGCCGACGTCGCCGACGCATCGCCGACTGCATCAGCCGATGCATCGCCGACTGCATCGCCGACCGCATCGCCGACTGCATGGCCGATGCATCGGCAATGCGTCGAGATCCTCCGACCCCATCTACTCGGACCCCATCTAGGAGGCCTCTAGAGGGGGAGGAGGAGGAGGAGGAGGAGGACTCAGAGGATGAAAAAGTACCGACGTCGCCACTCTCGCACCGTTTTCTCACCTTTTTGGGGCCTTCTGGGAGGCCCTCGTCGCCACCGCTTGATTCGCGTCGAAGGTCCTGTCCTGGTCAGAGCGCGCCCCCCTGGAGAGGTGCAGGGAGTAGCAGTACAAGTATCGGTTTCTCTCGTTTTGAGAAGGATCTGTCCTCCTACAGCCGCAAAGCTGGCGCTACTTGCCAAGTGCGTAAAAAATACGTTTCCGAGTATTTTTCCAACCACCTACGTAAGACGTCGCAGCCCGATACGTCTCCGAGTACACGCCCGAGCTCGGTAAATGTATTTGCCGTTTTTGAAACCACCCCCCGAATCATCGGCGATTGTCATTGCGATATTCGCGCTTGGCCGTTCCGCATCGCCGATGACGGGCATCGCTGCCGACGCATCGGCCTTTGCACCGCACGCCTTCGCGGTTTAAGTAGGCAGTCTAGATAACGCGTTGCGCCCCGCGCCTGTCGCTTAACGCGCCCGCTGAACCAAAGCTTATGATCGCGTGGCCTTCAGGTAATATTGCCGCACGGCTTGGGTTGTGGGTCACGTGCTTCTATGCTATGCTCATTGGGATCTCCGTTGTGTGTTTCTCGAGGACATCCTGTAAACAGTGCTGGGTGGTTCCTGGAGCAGCGTTGGGGTCTTTGGAGTGGGCATGTTCGAGTTTCGTCGGGGCCTATTGGGGCCTATTGGGGCCTGAACGAATCCTCTCGGGGCCTCTAGGCGGGCTTCTCGGGCCCTAGAGAAGGCGGTTCGGTTCACGGACGTGCCTGGTAAGTTGCCCAGGGCAAGAACGACAAGCCGTGCCCAGGGATGCTTTGGTCGATATTCCCAAGTTTGGTGGGTTGGAGCCTGCACCAAACACCTCTGCCAGGGAATTTTGGATGAGGCCTCGACGATGTCGACCGTGTCCCCCCCCGCCCACTTAAAGTCCCCTGCTCATTGCGCAGCCGTTTGGCTTCAGGGGTTTGGCGATGGCGTGGGACATCGCCCTCGCATCCCTCGAGGATGCAGCTCCGGACACAGAGCCTCCTGCCGCAGGATGGGCAGGGGTCCTGGCCGCCTTCGCAGATCGGTGCGAGCAGGCCGACCTGGCGGAGGAGATTTCGGCAGATGACAGTGCCATTGCACTGCTGCCTCCAGCACCGCCGACGCCTCCTGCTGCCATCGTCGCCGCTGATGCCGAGAAATCTCCAGATGAGCGGCTGCGTTTCTCTCGGCACGGCCTGCCGCGCGATGCGTTCGTCGAACGCGGGTTGAAAGGCTGTCGATCTGGAGTTAGGAAGTTATTTGACTTCATCTTCGGTCAGCGGGCCGCGGTTCCCCACGCAGGGGGCCCAGGTGCACATCCACCATTTGGCGACGTCCCAGATGTTCTGGGCGTGGGCTCGGATGATGCTGTGGTCGCCGCGCCTGCTGCAGCGCCTGTGCCTGCCGAAAAGGCGCACCCGAACACGTTCCCTGCCGAGATCTTAGAACAGAGCGCTGCCTGGCTAGAACATGCAGCAGCCACCGTCGAGAGGTTTCGAGACACTTCATTGGGACCGCAGCTCGTTGACGAAACCCTGGCGAATGTGGTGACCAGACTCCTTTCACTAGCTGCGGTGGACCGCCCAATCAGCGCAATGACGCTGGCAGGCCAGTACCCGTTCGATCGCCAAGCCATCGCCCAGACGATGGACGACATCGCAGCCACGAGTATTATGATGTGTCATCGCGATGCTTACCAGATGGTTCGGCAACATGGCGACGACGTCCTCTCTCGTGGTGGCGAGCTCATTCGTTCACGCACAGCATATCATTCGACTGCACACCGCTGAGGACGACAGTGAACGATGTTGAGGTCCTGGACCCCCGCGTGCTTGCCAATGTCGAGGCTGATGTTGTGGTTCTAAGGCAACTTGGTGCTTCCAGGTATGCTCTTGGCACTGTCCAGAGTGCTAACTATAGTTGCAGACCCACTAGTCCATCAACACTTTGACGAGGATCGGTCAGCACGTGTTACGTATCCACGTGAAGATCCCAGCTTGGATGCGGCCTGTCGCGGCCACGGGTGAGGTGCACCCCCAAGTCGTAGCAGCTACGAGGCCCAACTTCGATGGCATTGCTGCTCAGTTTCGTCGTTCGCAGCGGGTTGTTTGCACCGACGCCAGCGGCGCAGTAGAACGAACTGAGCGTGGCATCGCGCAGACTACAGCATCGTTGAGGGTGGAATGCGGGGTCCACAAAGTCAGCAGCTCCATGAAGACAGGCTTCTTACCGAAGGAGGAGACGGTTAGTTCGAACATCAATTTCAGCTTCACGCTCGCGAGCGCAAAGGCCATGCAGGGCTTGCGCAGACGTCTCAGATCGGTGCTCTCTGATGGCCGCTTCGAGTGCAGCTGGGGCATCCCAGTAGTGCACCATGTACGCCACAAGTATTATCGGTATGTTCTGTGATGGTGGCCGTATCTCTAACCTCCGCTGCCGACGTTCGTTGCTCCGATTCTTTAATTGTAAGCGGGACCCGCCTCAGATACGGCACATTTGCAATGGCTGCTGCACTGGGCCTGAGGGCTCATTGAACAAAGCTTGCGCTCTCATCTGTATTACGTTTGCTGCTGGGCACGGAACCTCCGACATGGCCTCGCCACAAGTGGCTGGGTGCGGCCACTCCTGTTGATTACACTGGCCTAGCATCGGGCCACCCGCCCCTGTTCAAGGATGTGTATTTGAAGTGGGCCGAGTCGGATCCAGGTGGCCGCAATCTGCTGACAATATTCCGTGGCGGCGGCATGTGCAGTGGAAATCCGATCTCTAGCATGGCCCCGAACGCCAGCCCCATCCGAAATGGTTTCGCGCTGAAGGTGACCAAGCAACCTACTCGGACTGCACGCTGCAGTTGCTGGAGCCCCTGGCGCCGACGACCAGAGCTCAGGTGGGGAGGAACTCGAAAAGGCGAACGTCAGGGAACAAGGCAGGCCTGACACGCCACGTTTTGGAAGCGTCTTTGAGATGGTTTGTGTTAGGCCACCCACTGTGAGGGCATCGCGACGCACTCTGGGAGCCAGTTGATTATATCGACTCGTCTAGCCAGGGCTGGGCCCATCGTCGGCGTCACCTGGGAGCTGCAGGTGCCCGCGGGGAGTGCGCCATCCTCAGACAGGCCTTTGCGCGCGACGACCCAGCCGTGCCAGGTGGAGATCAGCGAGCTCTTCGCCGACAGCGGCGGGCGTTCAGTTACAAAGAGTTCCCCCCCCAGAATGTCTGCGTGGTTTCGGATCTCTGATGCGATGGAAGCTCAATGTCGGATGCATGTGTTTCAGGGTCTTCCCAGAGGTATCCCCCCCGCCCCACCCTTGGGGGGGGGAGTGCCAAGTGTCGCTGCTGGCGCGGGGCGCTCATATCCGTAGGTCGTCTTGCGTCCAGTCACAGATCGCGACTTCTTCTATGAGGGCCCGCATTTGTTCTATGCGTGTTGGGTCGCCTTGCGTCGCTCGCGATCTGAGGAGGCTGCGCGACAATTGCCCATTCAGAACTTTCTCGGTGCTGGCGTCCGCCGAGGTGGCGCGAGGCATTTGCAATGGGAAGGAATCTGGGCTGGGCGACTGGACACTTCAATGCGTGAGGCGTTATCAGCCCAAGCTGCGCGTCGTCCCCAGGGACGTCATTGCGATGACAGCCCTGCTCAGCACTGCCGTGGACGCCATCGTGCAGTCGGTTGCCGAGGAGGCGGGCCACGCAGCAGTGCGGAGGTGTTTGACCAGCTGTCGTGCCACTGCCAGGCTGCCCGTCTGGGACGTGCATCTGCCAGGTGGGCCCTGGATCAAGAAGCTGGAGACCAGCTGCAGCAATGCGGGGTCGCGTCGGCCCTTCGACTACAAGACCTCGGCTTCGAAAGCGGAAACGAGGGGGTGGAGGTTGGTGGAGAGAGCGCGCCAAGTCTCCGGGTGGGCCGCGTGGCAGACTTGATCTACGTGATCGAGGTGTGAGTTATCGTAGTCTTCCCGCTGCTGCTAAGGCATCGCTCAGCCTGGGGCGAAGACCGCTGCTCGTCGGCGCCGCGAGGGTGGCAGGCGACCAACGGCCTGAGTCACTGCGCGCATGATCGCGCAGGCCCAGCCCGAGGAGGCGGCACTTGCCATGTGGTCGGCGCTCTTGAACGGCAGCCGCAAGACGGCACCGGACGCGCTTCAGAGGTTTTCCCCGACGGGTGCAGCTGGGCATTGGCCGAACGATTATTGCGCGCATGGCAAGGGGGCGAAGCAACTGGGCAACGCGTCAGAGGCAAAGCTCGCTGCCATCATCGACGGCGACCCTGCGAAGCAACATTGTTTCTGCTCGGTGGCATCTGGAGATTGGCAGTCGCCGATGGCAGCCCGACAGAAGGAGCGCGTGGCATTGCCAGAGGCGTTCTCTTGTGCAAGTGACTGTGCGTTCCATCGTGCGGTATGGCGCCCCATGGGCTCATCTCGTCGAGTGATAACTGCATTGCCCCTTCCAGGTCGTGGCCCAGTCGCCGTGGAGCTCGGCGCTCAAGAAGTGCATCCGAGATGTTTGGGCAAGATGGCATGCAACAGTACATTGCGATCGAGGCGTCCTTCTTCC